CAGATACACTAAATATTTCATTTTGAAGAATATCACCATTATGAAGTTAACATGAATATATTATACCACATCTACACTGACTTGCAATTAACTCCTATAAGATAATGTGAATTATAATCAAATTTTGTATTTTTAAGAGTATTTTAAAAAGAGTAAATAAGTTATCTAGCCCATTGAGTCAAGCAAACAAATTAAACGAATATCCAACTAGAAGTCGCTGGTATAGCAGTACAAGTGAAGCTTTTTTTAAAAATTAAATAAAACTATGCTGGGTTGACCACAATACCAAAACCATTCCTATATTCTTTTAAGATACTGCCATATTTTTACATGGTAATTCTTTCAGTATTATCATTAGTAAACGTTTTTATGCTTGCAGAATCTTAAAAATTCATTGTATTATTTATTTATTTAAATTTTATTTTACGTAAGATACATATAACATTATGTGATTTGGTTGTTTATTAGAAAATTTGCAAAATACTTTTGATTCGTCAAATAATTAACATTTTGTAACATAGGTAACGGTAACCTTCTTTATTTGCCTCTAAGTCTATAAAAAAAATGATAATTATAACAGATAAGTTTATAATCTAATGGTTATTAAATTTTAAATTTATAGTGTATATATATATTATATGTGAACGATAAATAAAAAAAAAAAAGAAAAGAAAAAGATAAAAGAAAAAAAAAACAATATCGTTAAATATTATTTGAAGGATCATAAATACCGAAAACATTATTTGAGTCGAAAGAATCATTATTTGAGTCGAAAAAAAAATTATTATTTGGGTCGAAAAAAAAATCATTATTTGAATCGAAAAAAAAATCATTATTTGAATCGAAAAAAAAATCATTATTTAAATCGAAAAGTAAATCATTATGTGAATCGTTGTTTGGTAGAAAAGAAGAATGTTGGAAATTGTAATATTCCAAATCATTTGGTGGAAAGGATGTGTTTATATCGTGCACTATATCTTGTGGGTTAGTAACGAATGTGTTTATATCGTGCATTACATCTTGTGGATTAGTAAAGAATGTATTTATATCGTGCACTACATCTTGTGGATTAGTAAAGAATGTATTTATATCGTGCACTACATCTTGTGGATTAGTAAAGAATGTATTTATATCGTGCACCTCATCTTGTGAATTAGTAAAGGATGTATTTATATCGTGCACTACATTTTGTGAATTAGTAAAGAATGTATTCATGTCGTGCACTATATCTTGTGAATTAGTATAGAATGTATTCATGTCGTGCACTACATCTTGTGAATTAGCGAAGAATGTGTTTATGTCGTGCACTTCATCTTGTGAATTAGCATAGAATGTGTTTATGTCGTGCACTTCATCTTGTGAATTAGTAAAGAATGTAGTTATGTCGTGCACTGCATCTTGTGAATTAGTGAAAAATGCGTTTATATCGTGCACTACATCCTGTGAGTCTACATCTTGTAAGTAATCTTGTGAGTCTACATATTGTGGGTCATCTTGTGAGTCTACATCTTGTAAGTAATCTTGT